GGAATTGGGAGGGGGCGCTTTTCCCTGTATCCGAAATATTTTATTTCTTCCACAGTAACAGCAAAAAGATTTAAATCAGATACAGCAAAAAGGTAACATCTGTTTAAGATGTTGAGTACTTGAATATGCCAAATTATTTTCTTTATAGTTTAAAAAGTTAAAGAAATGCTTATTCACTGTAGAATTAAGAATGAAATAAAGCTCACATGCAATCTCACCATAGTGAGATTTAAATCTAACTGACTGAAGCAAGTTCCAAACCTTTATCAGAGGCTATTCTCAGTTAAGCAATACTGTGTTTAAGGGCTGTCAAGTTGAATTAGTTTTTAGAAGCCTAACAATCCAACCCCATTGTGGCTGCTGTGATGGTTGAAACCAGAGGAAGAATTCAGCATGATCTTCTGAAGTACAACATAAAAAATTTAAGCATGCCAATAAAAGCCCAAGTAAATACTATAGAGAAATATGGCCTAAAATGTGAATTATAACATCAGTCAGGAAGCAGTAGTGGAATTGAGCCAAAATCATGAGAACTCTTAATGTTTTTTTTCTCTGAGAGTAATACAAGCTGTCATCACATTTCTAGATCATTCAATCACATAAAGTATAGTGTCCATCTATACAGACAACTAAAAAGAAGTTGCACACAGTTCTTATTTGAGTGATTTCTGTTACTGCTGTTCACCACAATCAGAAATTTTAAATGCTCTTTTTATACGTTGATGCTGACATCTCGCTAACTAGGGAAGCTAATAGGATAACTGGTGAAGAGGACAGAAACAGTACTGAGAAGTAGCATCACACCTAGTAACATGTTCACACGCATAGAAAAGAAACGAAACAAGAAAAGCCCAAAGCCTGTCCTGGCTGGCTAACCTATGTATGAGCAGGGTGTAATACAGAGGTATGACCAGTTGTATTCCCCTAGTAATCCTGAACAGACATTATTCTGCATCCGTCTAAAAGGCTTTGTTTCAGTCACTGTCATTTGAAACAGTATATTGTTACCCCTTCCAATTCTCCTAATTGAAATTTTTTCAGCATTTTATTATGAAAATTTTCAAACATACAGAGAAGTTGAGCTCACAACAGTACCCTACCCCTAGATTCTACAAAATTGATCGGTGTTTGTAATAGTATCATTTAATTAAAATCTAGAATGGCAAGATTTCTGTACATTTTTCAACAGTTAATAATCACCAACTTCCCAAAACGTAGTAGATACAATCAGTATTTGTTAAAGGTGAAAACACTAATAATTGCAGCCTCACATATTTCTGGCAATATTTAAAAGATATTCTGAATAGATAGAGGACATTCAGCGTCCCTTGACTCTATATCATTAAGTATTTATTGAGAGCCAGATCCTAGAGAGGATGTTAAATAGCAAAAGATGAATAAGTTATGGTCCTGGCCTCCAGGAACTCACAGTCTACAGAGAGAGGCACATATGTAAACAAATCCATGCAATACAACGTGACTAAAAAGTGCACTGAGGGCCCAGAAGAAGAAGCAACTCAGTCTTGGAAATCAGTAATGCTCTCATAAAAGGAGTACATGCATGGCCCAGGGCCTCGAATAAGTGGAATTTTGTCTGATAGAGAAGATTTCAGATGCAAAAGCTCAGCAATATTAACAGTACACCACAGGTCTGGGGAAATGGCGAGAGTGTAGGGTAATAGGTTTTCAAGCAGAAATGTGATATCTGATTTGTTTTTAGGGAAAGAACTCTGCCACCAGAAGAAGAGTTGAGGCTGCAGGCAAGCAAGTAGACAGGCAGGAGTGCCTCACCTCTCTTACAGCCATGAGAATGGAGCCTTTTTTTTTTGAGTGTGTACTGCATAACCACAGCAGTGATGCAATAAGCAAGATAACAGTCCCTCTATAACTGAACTTAGAGCCTCGTACCACCCACCTGTCTGTTTACAGTTCTGCCAACCAGTTATTTTTTATGATTCCTTCTGATTTCTCCCTTCTTACTCTATAAAACTACTTTCTAATACTAGGAAACTGTTGAATTAGTTCCTTCCTCAGATCATGTGAGAACATAAAGAAGGAGTTTCTCTAGAGATAAAAATGAGAAAAAAAAAACAAAACAACGCATCTTGTTTTGTGTTTATATCTCCAGTAGCTGACACAATGTTGAAATATCTTAAGCTTTCTGTAACTCAGTGAAACGTTGAAATATTTAGGAAGTAAAGTGAACAGGAATGAGTGATGTATAGGATATGGTGGATGTGAAAATGGAGATTTGCTAGAATGGCTCCAAGGGTCTCCTGGTTCTGGGTGACCAGGTGGATGGTGATGTCATCACCTGAGATAACAAATATCTAGAGGATAAATGAGACTGGGGGAGAAAAGAGATCATGAGTTCATTTCTGACAGTAAGTTGGAGCTGTCTGCTAGTCAGTTGATGTGCTTCTTAATCTTGAAAATCTTCGTATATAATCTAGTTGAACTTTTGATTCACAGAGCCATGAGAACAACCAGAATTGTTCCAGCGTTGAAAAATAAGTTGGCTAGCCCAATTAGCCAAAATTTATAATGTTTAGAAATTGTTTATTCAGGGTGTGCTTCCCTAGATATATACTGTTTGGAACTTATCCCTTTTTGGATTTATTTTAGCTTGATTCATGTAGCATCAAAGGAACAAAGAAATGATAACTAATAACTCTGTCAGTTAAGTTAGAGAATTAAAAAGGACATATGCTAGAGGTAATGAGGCTGGGTCAGGGTGGGGAGAATAACAGAAAAAAGAGAAAAACATATCTAGACCAGAAAGAAGATAGACATCCTAAAAATAATTTTAAAGCTTTTTTTTTTTTTTGGTTAGTACAGTGGGTTTTCCTTTGCTTTACTTGGTTTCGGTATTTTGTTTGTCTGACTGTGATCCAAGTATCTACATTTATTTAGAATTCTATTTTGTATGTAGGCTTATTTGACAGCCCAAGTTCGTTCTTACAGTAACGCAAGTTTTCATATGGGGATTGTACAGTTAATATATTATTAATTTTAAAACCACTTAAATAAATTTGGTTCCCCTGCTATTTAAAAGTTAATTTGTCTCTTCATTGGGTTCTGTGATAAATTTTAAATTCCTCTCCTCACAATGTAGAAATAACCATGTATACCTCTTTTGCCTTTTTATAGCTATTTTCTAAAAATGATTCTTTTGTGCAGAAGCAGGAATGTTTTATGCTATTGTCATAACAATTCTAAGTTTGTCAAATTACAAGTTATGTAAAAGACTTAATTATGCGCTGTGCTGCAGTTGAGCCAGAATTATAAAATATGTGTGTGCGTGCTATTTTGACAACCACAATACATTTTAAGGAAAAATAATATCATTTAAAATACTTTCTTTACCATGTTAGTCTTCGGCAAGCAGAGAAGGGCTTTTCTGAAGTGAGATTAGACAATAGAGCCAACTTCATTTTTTATGCACGTGAACGGAGAGGGCTTGAGGTTATTAGTTGAAACCGAGTAACCTTTCCAGGCTTTCATCTCTTTCTTTTCAAATTTGAATATGAAAAGCATATTCAAGTCAAAGACCATCACTTTAATGACATTTGGCAGTTATTTGATTTATTAGGTTTTAGAAAAAATTTTCCTTTAAATATTTCATCATACTATGCTAATCCTAGTAATATTGCCAGCTGCAGCCTTGTACCTGTATTAGTGGAGACAGAATGGTGTGGAATTTTCTCTGTCATCCTAGTAAAATTTCCATGAATCTACTGAATAATAAAATAACCTTATTGAAATATTCAGATTTAGGTTTTTAGTTAAAGTGTCTTAGAATACATAATAAAAGAAAATGTCTTTTGAAAGAAGGGGGTAAAATTACTTCATCAAATATTGAGGGGGTTTGCCAGCAATGGAAATTGTTCTTTATGGGAATATTTTTACAATAGGGTACCTATGCTTTTCAATTTGATTAATTATATTATATACTTTGAAATATCAAAATAGTAATCACTATGGTGAATTTACATACTGATTTACATCTGACAATGAATTCCTAAAAGTTGGTTATATAAGCAGGTCTTAGTATCAGGATTTTTAATTATTATTTTAAGTTATATAATTTATAGTAGGATGCCTCTGAATTTAATAAAGAGAGATTTAGTAAGGGGGAATAAAGAACAAATTTTAAATTGTAAACATTTAAAATCAAATGTAAACATTTAACCGAGGAATTATCTTGGTGCGATCTAATTTTTAAGTCATAGTCTATCATTTGTTTTAAACTATTACTCAAGGAAACATATGTGACTCTCATATAATGTTTGTGACACCAAAATCTATTAAATAAGGATTGAGATGAAAATTACACAAATATATATTTTTAGTTAATTCTGTAAAAAGGAGATAAAAATAAATTACAAGAAAATGTGTTAAATTCGATAAAAATTTTCTTCCTTCTGTTTGAAAACTTACTACTTATTGAATGAAATATGTTATGGCAGAATATATAAGAGAATGAACTGTAGTCCTAGTTAATATGGATTCGCGTAGCTACTTACGTTAGCATAGTAGCTATACAGTATTCAACAGGCTTTGGTCTCTGAATAACCAAAACGTTCTCAGGTACCGTAGAGTAAATAAAAGCAGTGACAAACATGTATTTCATTACATAGTTTGAAACAAGGCCAACTGATACATGTCATTCTGAAAGTAATCGGAGATGAAGATCTCATAATCTTCATTCCTGATGGACTACCAGTGGGGTATTTATAGCCTCAAATGTAAATCAGGAGACTATTGCCATGACACTGTTAACTTCAAACCCTGGGGCATTAGAAGCTCATTCTCCCTCTCTCTGTCGTGAATAATCTATCATGTGTAACTAGACAGTAGGGTACAATACCTTCCAAAAAAGAAATCAGTGAAGGCCACTGCCTTTATGTTTTATTTAAAATTGATAGTGGAAAAGAGTGAAGGATTTTTTGTTCGTTTTATTTGTTCTGTATCTTTTTTTGTTTTTGCTCTTTAAACAGCCATCAGAAAAAATTCGGATTGAGATCATAGCTCTAAGCCTTAATGATTCTCCAGTAACTGTAGATGATACTATCCAGCGACTATTCATTGAGTGCCGATTCTACAGTCTTCCTGCTGAAGAGACACCTGTGTCACTTCCAAAACCCAAGAGTGGGCAGTGGGTCTACTATAACTATAGCAACGGTAGGTATGGTATTTATAGTATAAACTTTTGTCTATGAAGGAAGGAAGCCAAAGGAACAGGGAAAAAGTACATTTCTCTAATGTTCGCATAAAACCATGGAAGTGTTGTCAGAATAGATTAATAAAAGTCAAACCTGTAGCATAAGGATTAAGAAATTAAATTTAAGGTACAGCTGGCCCTCTGTATCCATGGGTTCCACATCTTCAGATTCAACTAAAATACGTTGGAAAATACTTGGGGAAAAAAATTCCAAGAAACAAAACTTATATTTGCCATGCATCAGTAACTATTTGCATAGTATTTACATCTGTTTACATGGTATTAAGTTTTATAAGTAATCCGAGATGATTTAAAATATACAGGAGGATGTGCACAGGTTATATATGCAAATACTACACCATTTTATATAAGGGGCTCAAGCACCCTCAGATTTTGATATCTGCGAGGGTCCTGTAACCAATCCCCCTCTGATACTGAGGGACAGCTGTAATGCTACAGTTAAAAGAAAACGAAAGCAGTGGGAAAACAATGTTTCTAGATGTTCCTGCTATATCATAGAAAAATGCCACCTGTGTCTACAATTGAATTTAATCGAAAAATATGATATTTCAAGGAGAATAAAACTACTAGTTTTTTTATCATATGATTCTAACAATTTAATGGCCTAATTATTTCCACATTTCTGCTCAATGTCATCACACAGATGTTTTTACAATATACATGTATATCTCTCCCAGTGTCTAGATGCTCAGGATTTTAATTGAGTGATATAAGTTCTTAAAATACCTTTTCATTTTTTAGCCCACACATCCCTTCATAGCAGTAGGCAGGTGTTCTCTTTTAGGGCTTTACCTATCAGCTAGTTGATATGAAAGTCTGCTAGACCAGTATAGACCCAATAGGCACCCTGTAAATTCTTAGATCAACCAACTTTAAGACGTTTTTAAGGACAGTATATATCAGTGTATAATTAGAGGGGAGTAAAAAGATCATATCAAGCTGCCATGACCCTAAGTTAAAAGTGCTTATTAAGCTCTTCGAAAACCCTATATGAAAACAAACCAGAAAGATGGAGTGTTGCATTATCTTTAGCAAAACAGGCCATCTCATGCTAGTTGAACACCAATATTTTTTTCTCACCAGTTTTATAAATTTTTATTTTTTTTTTCTTTTTTTTTTTGCGGTACGCGTGCCTCTCACTGTTGTGGCCTCTCCCGTTGCGGAGCACAGGCTCCGGACCCGCAGGCTCAGCGGCCATGGCTCACGGGGCCTAGCCGCTCCGCGGCATGTGGGATCTTCCCGGACCGGGGCACGAACCCATGTCCCCTGCATAGGCAGGCGGACTCTCAACCACTGCGCCACCAGGGCAGCCCTATAAATTTCATTTTAATCAACATGTATAATCATTCTGTTGTACCACTAGGATTACAAATGCTCATGGTTTGTTTTTTTGTTTTGCAGTTGGCATTTTTAGAAACATGCTCATTGCTTGAAATAGTAATCATGAGTATCCAGAGATCTGGTCTAGTCTTCCCCATATCTATAATTCTTACTAGTTACGAGAACTTGGGCAACGTGTTTCAATTTCGTGATTCCCTGTCTTATCTGTTGAATAAGGTGCTAAGAACCCTTCCAGCTCAGATTCTATAATTCTGTGATAACAGGTGGGTTGAGAAGTCACATGGGAAATAAATAACGTGGTCAGGACAAGAATCTGATTTCTCCTTCCTATCATTGACTTGATCTAATAGAACATTTCCAAAAATATTTTCTCAAGCTTCCTAGAGATGTTTTAACTGCAAAGTATCAGAAAAGTAAGCCATAATTACGATATTATTAGTAATGAAAAAACTCTTTAGTCAACTAATTTTTTTAAAATATTCCTCAAATTTTTAAAATTATTATTTCTTCTTTTTTTTTTTGGCTGCGTCAGGTCTTAGTTGCAGCACGTGGGATCTTTCCTTGCAGCACACAAGCTTCTCTCTAGTTGTGGCGTGCGGGTTTTCCCTCTCTAGTTGTGGCGCGTGGGCTCTGTAATTTGCAGCACGCAGTCTCTCTCGTTGAAGCGCGCGGGCTCAGTAGTTGTTGAGCGTGGGCTTAGTTGCCCCATGGCATGTGGGACCTTAGTTCCCTGACCAGGGATCGAACCCACGTCCCCTGCATTGGAAGGCGGATTCTTTACCACTGCACCACCAGGGAAGTCCCTAGTCAACTAATTTTAACGAAGGTACCACCCAAGTAAAGAGACAAGCCCTTCTGGTTTTTGTATTATTCGTTGTAAAGGGCAGCAGTAGACTGTTTGGTTGGACTGACGACAAAATGGTTTTTTAGAAATTGGTTGTACATTGAGACACTTGGCCATGCAGCAGAACAGAGGTTTCCATTTGCTTAAGGAGCAATGCAAGTCATTCTTTGGATGAAACCTGTGACACATGCTCAAGTATCCTGAATTTTGTACATTCTCACATGGTGACCTAGGTCTGTTTGAGGCTTTTTGTTGGTTTATTGGTTGGTTGGTTGGCATTGATTTGGTTGTTTTAAATGTTTTCCTTTTACTGCAAGATACCCTACTATCTAAATGGTATTTTAAGAGTTGCTTATGTTTCTAGTGAATTAGTCATTTGATATCAACAAGAAAACCAGTAATCTATTAGAATTTAATTCATTAGAAGTGTTTACTGTACCTTTCTGCAGCTTCTATTCCTACCTATTGAGATTTGACTATATAGAATTTTCAAGGTTAACTGAAAAGAATTTTAAGGATATTTATCTGGTGGGCAGGGAGAGGAATGTACTTTGTGCTTAGAAGCAAATTAATGCTGTTTTATATCTACTGTATCTGAAAAAATGAAGTCCTAGATCATCAGCAAATTTGAGAAATAACATTAACCTTGGAGAAGGTTTATTTTTCACTTAAGTAGGACATACTGAAAGTGTTTATTTTTAAATTACTATGTTTGCATCTCCTTCATTGCAGGAGAATCTCCTTGGTTAATAAGTAACTATCTCACTCATCTAATTATTGTGATGATTAACCATTCACTTGTTATTTGATATAAAAGAGGTCAATATAAATGTAGGCTTACATCTTCCAAATCTTATTAAGTGTTAATGAAAGTAGTTTTATTTCCAAACTGACGTTTTAATTGAGACAGAAAACTTAAAGGACAGTTAGTACATGCTGTCTCCTATTTGAACACCATACCAGGCAAGAGGTTAACCAAACCTTGCGATGATTTTTACCCTGCATTATGACTTGAATCTATTCAAAAGGGATTTGTATACTGAGGCCTAAATTAGGTACATAAAATGAGAGGTTTAGACTAGTGATCCCCAGGATTATTCATAGCCTAATTCAGTCTCTTTATTAAGAGGTGTTAATACCAGTTTCACATACACGAAATATATATCTTTTTAGGGCTACTAATACTAGAAGAAAAAAGAAAAGAATCAACGTTGAATTAACTTGCTAGACACTGGTAGCAAGAACAAAACATTTGTATTTTATTGGGCTTGAAAAATTTGCTTGGAGAACGCTGAGAAAGCAAGAAAATAGTTTGGAAAAGAATAAGATTAATGGTAGGTCTACAGAATGTTGTCTGGGCTGAATAAAGTCTTCTAGGGAGTTGACAGTGGGAAGAAAAAAGATTAATGAAATCGTCCAAAGTTTTTATGAGACTTATACAGATCTAGGCCTTTAGTCTCTGAGCATTGAATGGTCTATCTGTTGGAACAATTAAAGTTTAATGCAGAAGATGAAAAGGATGTAGAACTTTAGATTTTGTTACTAATGGGAGGAAAAACTTGGCAAAGATAAGGACTGGGGGGATGATAACACTTCAACACAAAAGTTATCTTCAAGGTTATCAACCCTTTATATAACTAAACCATCTGCATTTCTTCTGCCAAATGACATTGATAAAGAAAATAAGGATTTCTGCAGCCTGCAGAAGTGAGGGATGTGTTTTTAATGGTAGACAATTCAAGATCAACTCAAGTATTTGGACTACTGGTTTGTATCTTGTTTGAGACATATGCTTTCAGTAAATTTATGTCAAAATCTAGCAGGTCCTAAAGAAATGTGATTTCTGATGAGAATGAAAGGTGGATAGCTTAACTTTTGGAGAGTTCTGATACATTTCATAATCACCAGAATTGCTTTTTAAAGGATGTATTTCAAGTTTTGAAATTGTAGATTTTTTTTTTTAACCATCTAATTCAGAACACCAAATGGATGTCCTTGGGATCATGACCTAATTAGAGGTAACCAAAGTGTCTCTATCTCCCACATGTTTAACACAAAAAAAATGTTTACTAGTTCCTGATCCTTTTCAAAAATCAGTCAAAGGAGTGTTGGGCCCAAACGCTGGTTCTCAATGGTATCCTGACCAGCAGCAGCAGCAGCTGGGAAGATATTAGAAATGCAAATTCTCAGGCCCTACCCCAGACCTACTGAATTAGAAATTGAAGGTGAGCTCAGTAATCTGCATTTTTAACACATCCTCCAGGGATTCTGATGCGCATTAAAGACTGAGAACCAATAGGCTAGGTTAAGATCCCCAGTCTAGGCCTTGTTTGTGCAAGCAGGAGAGCTGTGTAGTTCTAACTTGGTACACTTTTGGAGAACCAAACTCATCAGTAAGTAGCTTGAGTTTTTTCGAAAAGGAATTTTTTTTTTTTTGAAGTATAGTTGATTTACAATGTTGTGTTAGTTTTAGGTGTACAGCACAGTGATTCAGTTATAGATAGATAGATAGACAGATATCTTTTTCAGATTCTTTTCCCCTATAGCTTATTACAAAATATCCCCTATGTATAGTCCCCTATGCTATACAGTAGGTCCCTATTGTTTATCTATTTTATATATAGTGATGTGTATCTGTTAATCCCAAACTCCTAATTTATCCCTCCCCCTACCTTTTCCCCTTTGGTAACCATAAGTTTGTTTTCTATGTCTGTGGGTCTGTTTGTTTTGTAAATAAGTTCATTTTGATCTTTTTTTTTTTTTGATTTCACATGTGAGCGATATATGATATTTGTCTTTATCTGGCTTACTTCACTTAGTATGATAATCTCTAGGTCCGTCTATGTTGCTGCAAATGGCATTATTTCATTCTTTTTAATGGCTGAGTAATATTCCATTGTATATATGTACCACATCTTCTTTACCCATTCATCTGTCGATGGACATTTAGGTTGCTTCCATGTCTTGGGTATTGTGAATAGTGCTGCAATAAACATTGGGGTGCATGTATCTTTTCAAATTATAGTTTTCTCTGGATATATGCCCAGGAGTGGGATTGCAAGATCATATGGTAACTCTATTTTTAGTTTTTTAAGGAACCTCCATACTGTTCTCCATAGTGGCTGTACCATTTTACATTCCCATCAACAGTATAGGAGGGCTCTTTTTTCTCCACACCCTCTCCAGCATTTATTATTTGTCGAAAAGGAATTTTTGAAAGTGTTCAGTCAAGAGAACTGGTTAACGCACCTGGACCAGATGTAAATATCTAAAGCAATATCCCTTTAAGAAAGAGTGAAAGGAGGGCGAGACGGCCTCTCTTGATACAGCGATGGAATTCTCTCTCACATCCCAGTCTGTGCTAACAACATGGCTGCAGCTTAAACGGCAGGAAGAGCTCTGGCTTCATGTGGAAGAAGGAGAAGGTATAGCATGGAGGTTAAGAAGGCAGGCCATGGGGCAGACCTCCCTGGATTCAAATTCTAGCTCCACCACTTTCTAACTAGGTAACCTGAGGCAAATTACTTACCTTCTCTGGGTCTGCTTAATCATCTGTAAAATGTGGGTCAGCATGGTTCTTAACAGATGTGATTGCAGTAAGGAGAGCATTGAGTGTAGTACCTAGTACATAATAAACATTGCTCAATAAATGGTGGTCATCACTATTTTTATCTTTGTCAGGAGAATAGGATATACAGTGTGCTGGTCAACTGGATGAAGCAGAAGGTGTCACAACTATACCATTTTTTTTTTTACCAATTTCAATGGTAAAGATTTTTTTTAAAAAAAGTTAAACATAGAATTGCCAAAGATTTAGCAATTGTACTTTTGGAAATGTACCCAAAAGAATTAAAAGCAAGGACTCTGACAGATGTTTGTACACCATGTTCATCACAGCATTATTCACAATAGCCAAAAGGTGAAACCAGCCTAAGTATCCGTCAAAAGACAAATGGATAAACAAAATGTGCTGTGTTTGTATGTATGTGTCTGTATGTGTATATACATGTACACACAGGAACATTATTGAGTCTTAAAAAGGAATGAAATCCTAACACATGCCATAGATGAACCTTGGAAACATTATGCTAATTGAAATAAGCCAGACACAGAAGGATAAATATTATATGGTTCTACTTATAAGAGGTATCTAGAATAGTCAGTCATAGAGACAGAAGGTAAAATAGTGGTTACCAGGGGCTGAGAGGAGGAGGGAGTAGGCAGTTACTGTTCAGTGGGTGTGGTTTCAGTTGGAGATGATGATAAAGTTCTGGAGATGGATAGTGGAGATGGCTGCAAAACAGTGTGAACGTACTGAATGCCACTAAGCTGTATGCTTAAAGATGGTTAACATACTAAACTTTATGTTATGTATATTTTATCACATTAAAAAATTTTTTTCAAGCTGTTGAGATTCATCAGAACTGGTCTAGTTTAATTGAAAGACTATTTGGATGCTAGACGTTGAATTCAGTCTTTTTTTTTTGTTTTAAATCACTGAGATTACCCTTGTCTTCAAGCAATGTAGACCACTATAATTAACAACACTGTATTTTGTATTTGAAAGTTGCTAAGAGAGTAAAAAAAATTGTCACCATGTGAGGTGATGGATGTTAACTCACTATGATAAACATTTTGCAATATATACATATATCAAATCATTATGTTGTACACCTAATACTCATACAATGTTATATGTCAGTTATATCTCAGTAAAACTGAGAAAAATTATCACAAAAGAAATGTAGGCCAGTATGGCTTAAAAGCTTTAGAACTCTGAAGTCAGAAAGGATATGGTCTACCATATCTTGAATTGGTAATTAACAGCAAAAACAAAAAATTCCGATTTGGAAAAGAAAAGTTCAAATTTAGCTTGGTGTGCTGGTGGCCAAATGAGGTCCCATCTCCCAGCATTAGTGGAAAAGCATGACTTTTTTTAAAAGCATGCCTTTTTAGCATTGGTAAGTAAAACACTATATTTACAAAATATACAAGAACACTTTGTCTTTTATGATTCCTGTAAATCTCAGTAACCTGTATCATCGGTCACATTTACTAATATGGTATCGTGCAAAGAGCAAAAAGCTAAGAGCTGCTGTTTGACCTTGGTTCTTCCTTCTCTTAAACTACCAGCCCACCTCCACACAGACCTTTGTGCCTCACTCAGTGCCCAGCATGTGCCATCCCTGGCCCTCGGCTAATATTTGTTCAACTAGCCAACGATTAAATGAGTTGATAGCATCATAATTTGAGATTGAACTCAAATTGTCCAGGGAAACATTCTCAGTATGAAATATGTTTGTTCCCAACGTAACCTGGCTTTAGAACTGTCATGGTATCTTTTCACCCTTTGTGTATTTTTGATCAGGGATTATCTCTAAATTGAGATCTGGTCACAGGAGAGACTTTAACTCCAAAATGGCACCTGAAAAAGAAATGTCTTCAGAAGTTAGCGCATGGCTGAAAGGCTGCTACCGAGCTGAGAAAAAATAATCAGAATGAAAATTAGAGTGTTCGCACTGTGAGATGCCATTTTCCCAAAGTGCAGACATTTACAGTTTCACGTGTTCACTGTCTTCTTCCTGGTGGATCTTTAGATGAGTTACCTAATCTTATATTTCAGCCAAGTAAAGTCTAACCACACTCCTGCATGCCAGCGTGAACCTTTGAAAACCAAAGACAAACTTCACACCCTAAAAAGCCTCTCTCTCTCCCTTCCACCACAGGTCTATGCCGTACCCCCACCCAACCACCAGCAAGCGTCAGTGTGTGGATTTCCTCAACCCATTGTACTAGGATGCCTCTTTTATTGCATGTTGTGGCAGGAGAGAAGGATTAAATTACCAGGGCTGTCAGGAAGGACAAGCTCTCTGCCATACATTATCATGTCACTTGCTTCTTGGGTGAAAGAAAATGCAGTAAATCCCTCAAATACAAAGCAATAAAGACCGCTCGCTTTTACTGTCACGACTGCCACTGCCATTAACAGGCAGTGACAGCGATGTGGCACTCTTAGATGTTGCTTGTATCTTTTCTGACAGTGTGCACGTAAACCTGCCAGTGACATGACATTAGATCACATGACTATTCAGATTTGATTCTGGTTTCCAGCGCGGCTTTCTTTTCCCTTGCGTACAAGTGAGGTGGTATGACTTGCGCCTCTAAAAACAGGTATTTATACAAATACATGGTACTAATGTAGCATATTCCTGAGTGACTTCTTGCGGATTTTTTTTTTTTTTTGGTTTAGTGATCTACGTGGATAAAGAAAACAACCAAGCCAAGAGAGACATCTTAAAAGCTATACTACTTAAACAAGAGATGCCTAATAGAAGGTACATTTAAGCATTCTAAATTATCTGGCAGTTTATACAAAGGAGATCTCTGTAGCGTGGTGTGGTGGGGAAAGAAAAGCACGAGATGAGGAAGCAGAACACCTTACTTCCCTGATTCACTCAGTGTCCTTGAATGAGTATGTGACCTCTCTGGGTCTCTTTCCTCCTAGAAATATCACAGCCCTGCCTATCATACAGAGTAACTGTAAAGATCCTATCGTGCTTTGCAAACCAAAAGACTGTACAGTGTAGTGTATAAAGTATCCCATTGTCAGTCAGGTATAAGTGTAAAGCACCTAACAGTGATTGCCAGGAGGGGGCGCTCTGGACTCAATGGCTGGAATATAAATTCTTGTTCTATCACTTACTAGCTGTCTGACCTCAGACAACCACCCTGTGCCTCACTTTCTGCATCTGTAAAACGGAGATAATACAGGGTGGTTGTAAAGATTAAATGAGATGATATGTGTAAGATGGATAGAATAGCGCCTGACGCAGAGTAAGTGCACAGTAAATATTCACTGCCGTCATTGTAAGCAGCAGTAATATTATTATTTGTAATAGCTCATCAGCCTTTCATACTAATTTTTACCTCACTAGCACTTTTTAATAGTTCATCATGTCATGTTATTTTTAATGCTTTTTTGGGGCAAACTTGAACAGGACACTTTGCATTTTTGGTCAGTAGAGAAATTATACCCTTTCGAGAAGGAAAAAAACCTGATCTTAATAAATTCTTGCTGGACTTCCCTGGTGGCGCAGTGGTTAAGAATCCGCCTGCCAGTGCAAGGGACACGGGTTCGAGCCCTGGTCCGGGAAGATCCCACCTGCCGTGGAGCAAGTAAGCCCGTGAGCCACAATACTGAGCCTGCGCTCTAGAGCCCGCCAGCCACAGCTACTGAAGCCCATGTGCCTAGAGCCCATGCTCCGCAACAAGAGAAGCCACCGCAGTGAGAAGCCCGCTCACCGCAACGAAGAGTAGCCACCACTCGCCACAACTAGAGAAAGCCCGCGCGCAGCAACGAAGACCCAACGCAGCCATAAATAAATAAATAAATAAATAATTTTAAATAAATTTAAATAAATAAAGAAGTTCATACTTTTGATTGAGCTCCCATCCATGCAGTCTGAGGAGTTATCTAAGTGCTACCCATCAACCCCTGATCTGGGGGCTTCGCCAACGCCCCTCTGCTGGCTTGTCCCCGTTGGCCTGGGTGGACCCTTTATCTCCCCATTGTCCTCTTCTCCTTGCCTTTATGGCCCATCAGTGACAAAGCCTCTCACTGCCTCAAACCAGCACTTACCCCTCCCCCACCTGAGAAAGAGACTGAGGTTCATCTGTTTCCTAGAGGCCAGGAAGTGAACATTAACGACATTATATTTTTCAAAAGAGCTTCCAAACTAGCATCTGATCTTCTGTTTCATGAAATGAAACTGAAATTCTTAGCTCTTAGGATCTGACAGTGGCTTTTTCTTTAACTCCTTGAAATACATGTATTATTTCCTTGGATTTTTTTTTTAATATTTATTTATTTGGCAGCGTCGTGTCTTAGTTGCAGCATGCGGGATCTTCATTGTGGCACACAGTCTCAGTAGTTGTGGTGTGTGGGCTCTCTAGTTGTGGCATGCAGGCTCAGTAGTTGCAGCACTCAGTCTCAGTAGTTACAGCACGTGGGCTTTCTTGTTGTGGTGTGTGGGCTCTAGAGCACGTGGACTCAGTTGCTCCACAGCATGTGGAATCTTCGTTCCCCGACCAGGGATCAAACCTGTGTCCCCTGCATTGGAAGGAGGATTCTTAACCACTAGACCACCAGGGAAGTCCCTCCTTGGATCTTGATTCTGAAGAAAGAGTAGGAAAACCCTATTAATTGCCCTGAGGTTCTGTTTTTCCCAGGATGGTAGATAATCACTCAGGTTTTACTTACTTTGTATACTTCAGCTTCTTTCAAGGCCACCTCAAATACCACTGGCCCCCTGGGTACCCCAGGTCACTAGTGATTAAACGGCACTGGCCATGTCATCTACTTCTCTGCGGTCAAGAAGCTCGGTCATCACTGCCCAGAACTGAACTTTAAAAATAAAAAAAAGTCCACCATAGCTGTAATGACTCCCACTCTCCCATCATTGTTTCCCTAAAAATTTCTAAATGTCCACAGAGGCACAAATGTTCATGTCATTTTAGATACTGCAAGAGGCACTGCAGGTGCAGAGTGACTGGCTCGGGGCTGATGACAGCTGAGGGCTTGGAGCGCTGGCCACGTGCTCCTCAGACTGCCAGGGGAGGGCTGGGGCCATCATGGGAGAATAGCCCTGTCCCATTTCTCTCCTTTGACAGTATCATTTTCTTAAGGGGAAAAAAAAAAGGAGTTTACATTTTTCCACAACCAAAAGACAACTGTTATTCCAGTGAATGTTCCCACCTTTTTTAAGTACTCTGAGGTCACATTACTTAAAGTACCTCCTAGTATATAAGAATTCATTTTCTCAGACAGTAGCCCCCTTGAACATTGCTGATAACTTATAGAGCCACAGTTAGATAAGTTTGGCCAATCTTCTGTGACACACATAAGATGATGTGCATTGTATAATGAATCACATATAGTACCTTTGCATTCTGTCCCATGCTATATTTGCAAATATACAAGCGTCACTTTAAAAGGGAGGCAACACATTGAAATGGGAGTCTGGAAATTATTTATTTGAAGTCATGGTTTTGACACCGACTTAAGGTTCCCCTTTGGCTTCATTTCTTCCCTTTCACAGTGTTCTGCTGTACAGATCCAACTTAACTATCAGCACTCCGGTACGTAAAACTCACAGGTGAGCCCTGAGGCTCTTCTATCCTGTTTCATATAAAAACGAACTATTTCAGAATGAGGAAAGAATCAAAACTGCTAAATGATCTAAGGAGTTTCAGTGCCTTCTGGTTTCCTAAATGACAGCAGGTGACGTTCGAGGTCTAAATCTTGAGGCCCAGCCCAAGGCCTGCCTTCTCCAGCCAACCTTCCCCAAATGAGCCAGCCTTCATCTAGGACTTCCATTTTGCAGTTCATGTAGTAATTCAACAAATATTTATGATCCCTACCTAAGTATCAGGAACTAAAATGCTGAACAAGAGGATATCTTTGCACTCATGGAGTATACATTCCACTGAGGAAGACAGACAACAAGTAAACAGATCAACCAATTACATGTTACAATAGGTACTAAGAGAAAGCTAAACAAGCTGCTAAAATGGAAAATAACATAAAGGGAATTCCTGGCGGTCCAGTGGTTAGGACTCCGCGGTACCACTGCCAGGCCCGCGTTCGATCCCTGGTCAGGGAGCTAAAATCCCACAAGCCTTGTAGCGCAGCCAAAAACAAAAAGTAGGAATAAAAAAAGTAATAATAACATGAAGGCAAACCCGAGGAGATGACATTTAAGCTGGTTAGTGAAGCCTCTTCAGCATGTAAAGCAAGGTTCCATCCCGTTGTTTTGGCAGGGTTCAAGGTAAGATAAGATGTGTCTGTGCGTGTCCGTGTATGTGTATGTACAGTTTAGCCGAAGCCAAGCTGTAGTTTTTAAATTATTTTACCTTCCTCCCTTTAGAGCCTAACTTTAGTTTCTTAATTTTGTATTTGACATCTCATTTTGCTCCCTATAGAATCTAAACCAGAAATATTGCATTTTTTGTTTTTAGCCCTTTCTCTGGCACTTAGAAGGTTTTTTTTTCTTTTTGTCTCAGAATTCTCATGTATTCAGTGGAGGTAGTGGTATGCATTTGTAAAGTATATAGATAATTATCCTTAGATATGAGACATTATATAAGGATAACACTTAATATTATTACAATCTTGTAGCCTCCATCCTTTCTGTAAGTCTTGTGGGTGTAAAATGTGTGTCAAATATCACTTCTAATTCCTTCTTTTCTAAGTATATTCATTTTAGGACAATATCTTTCATCATCATTCTTCTTGTTTAATGAGTGATACAGTCATTGTACAATTTGGGTGTCTCGGTTTTCAATTGAGACAAGCCTTTCCCATGTATTCTTTTTCTCTCCCCTTAGAAATGTAGAAGCTTAAGGAGCTCTACCTAGATTAAAAATAGTAATAATAAAAGAGCAAACATTTACTCAGTGCTTAATGTGTTCCAGGCATCATTTACATGTATCATCTCATCCAGTCCTCACAAGAGCCCAGTGAACCATTACTATTCTACAGATGGGGAAACCGAGATCAGAGAGGTTAAGTAATGTGTACAAGGTCACACAGCTAATTAATAGGAAAGCAGAAATTTGAACCTAGAACGGATGCCCTTAAACCACTTAATCTTAATTTATCTATTTTATGCATCATATAAAATATCCATCTTTCTATTTCCTGATCAGAATTTATTGCTATGGAAAAACAGGGACTTAGTAAAGAAATGAAATGTTGAATACTTTTAGCAAATTATTTTAAAATATTGTCATGTTTACCTGTAAGCATTTGGAAAGGATTTTTATCTTGCATATTTTTCAAGGCATGACATCCCAGAGACTTAGGTTTTTACCTAACAGTGTTATCTAAGAAACAAGTTTCTTGTTTTGTTTCTGATTTGGGATGGATAGATTTTGAAAATGGTTAAAATGGTCATTTACAAGCATTCGTGGTTTAAGCTATGCTGCCAAGACATATCAAAAGAGTACTTAACTGTAAATTCCTGTCATTTGGTCAGTCCAAGTGTGTTTGGCCTCAACACAAGCCACTAATTCAAATCAGTTCCATCAGAACCCTCCAATTATATGTCTAAAAGTAAAATAAAACTTGGATGCTATGATTGTAAGTTGAAAGATTGCTGAACTAATACAAACATTTCATATAGCTATTGGGTAGAGCTACAACATTTAGCTAACATAATTAAGAATATATAGAACACAGTTGGTTAAATTGCTTAGTAGAAACTCCAAAGTTGTGCATTTCTGTAGAAAATGTTGCATTTCTGTTGAAAAAGCTGCCCTAACCTCCCTGGTCTTTATTCACTTGATCCTTTTAGCCTTAAAAGTAGACATGTCAAAATATGATCAGATAATGTATAATAGAGTGAACATCTGGTTCTTCTCTTCGCCTAGTAATTTTCTCAGATTCTAGTGATAAATGATAATCAGTGCTTAGAAAAGTGAATTAGTGTTCATGTGAAGTCTGGGTGTGCTATAATCATTCTAATCGTTCATATAATAACTTATATAATTTTCTTTTTATTGGAATAATTGGAAACTGAGATTTCACAGTTTGTGATAAAAACCCATTCAGGAGTTTTGTTTCATTTGTGATTTTTTTTTCTCACTTTGTAGCGATGTTCTGTGTTCTTTCCCTTCTCAGCGTTCGCTTCACTGTGGTCAGTGACCCTCCAGAGGATGAGCAGGATCTGGAGTGTGAGGACATCGGCATTGCTAACGTTGACCTCGCCGACATGTTTCGGGAAGGGAGAGACATCATCGAGCAAAGTATTGATGGTATGGGTGGAAGTATTGCTCAATCTGTACAACCAGCAATTGCTGAAATCCAAATTCTTTATTAAAACCTTCTTTTTGCTGGCTGCAAGGACGTTGAGTCACACACTAGTTGAATCCTTTGCGACTCAAGCTGATGTTTTGTTGAGGCTGGAATTTCTCCCTACATCCCCCCCTTACCCTCCTTCTCTGCCTTCCTTTGAATCAACAGAAATTTAAAAATAATTAATTGTGTTTCTCAAGGAATTATTCATTTTGTTAGTATTGGGGGGGCATTGTGGGGCACAAAAATGTGGCCATTGGATTTTTTTTTTTTTTTTGCGTTACGCGGGCCTCTCACTGTTGTGGCCTCTCCCGTTGCGGAGCACAGGCTCCGGACGCACAGGCTCAGCGGCCATGGCTCACGGGCCCAGCTGCTCCGCGGCACGTGGGATCTTCCCAGACTGGGGCACGAACCCGTGTCCCCTGCATCGGCAGGCAGACTCTCAACCACTGCGCCACCAGGGAAGCCCCATTGGATTTTTTTAAATGTTGTTTCTAGAAGCCTCATGCTGTCAACCCTTATTTCAGCTAAGGCATGTTATTCTGAGTGATCATTACAGTGTGTTCTGCAAGGCTTCTCTTTACTTCAATGTTACAGTCCGGTGATATAGTCACTGCAAATAACTGAGCAGTTTTGGTCACTTGCTTCTCATCAGGATTCAGGGAGGAGTTAGGGATTCCTGACAAAAAGTGCTCTTGTAGATTTTCACCTCACCAGGTGTGAGTCCCAACAATGCCTAATTTCTACCCCTTATCCTTATATAACACATTTAGAACATGCAGAAGGCACTGTACTTTATGAAATCAAGACTTTTAAAAATAATAATCAGGGATGGCCTGGGCTGTACAATAAATGAAGAAACGAGGCTGAGTCCTAATCTCATTTCTTAAGTCAGCAGAGCCATCCATCACTGGAAGAATGTACACGGTTTGTTTACTCATTTATTCATGCATTAAATGAGCACTTAACTGAGCACCTCTTAAGTGCCAGGCACTCTGCTTACACCGTAGTTCAGCTGTGGTTCACATGTCAAGCTGCTTGTCCTGGATGTGTGTCAAGTGCTCAAAAGTCAGGATCAAGCCAAATAATTAACCAAATTAGACCAAGTAACCAAATTAGAAACCTATTCTGGGAAATTTTATAAACTATACATATCACACACATATCACAACTTTGGCAGGCACAGAAGAAAAAGATGAGAGGATTAAAATATGAACCTAAATCCTATTAAAAACACCCAGAACCAAGAGAGTCTGACAGAAATGTTCAAAATTATCTGTGCTTTAGATTCTTTATCTTTTCTACAGTCAGTGCTGTTTCAAAAGCCATCTTCTCATTCTGCAAGACCACAAATGATCATATTGGTCTGATAGAGACAGCTATTGTGGCCTTGTTCTGGGAAAGAGTCAGAAAATTAAACGCTGGTAAGGTTAGGTTTTTAATGCGTTGCTCTGTGCCAGACATAGAAGTGAGGCGTTCCAAAGAAGAGGTGAGGGCTCGGCAGTGCGCTGGGGACCATTTGTGCCCCTGCAATCTACCTACCTGCTCATTTCTCCACCTAAGTCTTTGTATACTAAGTTTTATTTGAAGGTTTCCTTACAAATTTTCTTGGAGTTAAACACACACACATATTAAAAGTTCAAGGAAAACCACGAGGAAAATACATAGGAAACTATATAGACTCATAAGTGCTGTCAAGACTTACAAAGTCCAAAATTCTGGCCTTGGGTCACTAGTAGGTTATCGCTGTTCACAGAGAGTTGGGGTCTGAATCAGCATCCCATTTGGCCCCCACCACTGAGCTCAGAGAATTATCAAACAGTCTGCCTTTGATACACCACTAAAGCTGTGCCTCCTTCCCAGAAAAGCCCACAGACGCTCAGAATTTTACATCTACTTTCTTGCAACATCAGTTCATAGACCCTCAAAGCCAATCCATAGACCTTAAGATTCTGGGTCTGCCATTTTAACTTTTTCTAATTTCACATATAATCTATTTTAAATGGAATGTTTTCCTTAGAAAGATAAATAACCATTCCAGGGGACTTCCCTGGCGGTCCAGTGGTTAAGACTTCACCTTCTAATGCAGGGGGTGCAGGTTCAATCCCTGGTCGGGGAGCTAAAATCCCACATGCCTCGTGGCCAAAAAACCAAAACAAAACAGAAGCAATATTGTAACAAATTCAATAAAGACTTTAAAAATGGTCCACATCAAAAAAAAATCTTTAAAAATATATAAATAATGATCATGTAATTTCTTTACAGTAAGTTGCCATTCTGATATTTGTTAACACAGTATGTTAGAACAAATTCTTCATTGTCATATCTTGATCCCTTTTAGACTCTTATTTCCTACTAAGAAATTCTGATTCTGTGGGAATCATTATCCTATAGCCTTTCCACTGGGTAAACTTCAGGATTAGATCATTAGTTTTAACTCTACAAGCAATATGTGTACATACATACAGTACATCTGAAATGTGTATACACACTCATACACACATGACAAGCTTTGATTTTTAGGTTTCTGAGATACCAGTGAACTTTGGACCTCTGTAGAGCTGTTTTCATCTTTTCAACTACTGTTTCAGCTAGGCTCTCTGAAGAAAAATCTGTTGAATGATATTAACACTTTTCTGCTATCTTCTCCCTAGTTTTGGATGCCCGAGCAGATGGTGGAGGTATTGGCAAGCTCAGGGTAACTGTCGAAGCAGTCCATGCCCTACGGTCTGTCTACGAGCAATACAGAGATGACTTGGAGGCTTGAAAGAAACTGCTCCAGAGGCATCTCCTACTCCTGAGTAAATGCTCACATGAAAGCACTTAGATGAGATTTTCGTAATTACTCTGCTGTATGTAATCTATAATTCATGAGAAGCTGGGAGGGAGGAGGCCTGGGTTTGAAGTGTTCAAGTTTTGTATACTTTTTCCATTTGTTTATTTTTCTATTCCCTCCTTCCCATGACTGCCACCCCCTCAGGACTTAAGTTCTCCACAGTGGGCAACACCTTCTCAATAATTTATACCTACATGATAACATGAGAAAGTCTATTTGCATTTTCAACATTTTCTTATGAAGAACTGAAATGCAATTCCCATTTTTATTTTTAATAAGCAAAAAGCATAAACCTTAGAAAACCTATGAAAAAGAAATACTTTTACGTTATCCCTAATTGTCCCACTAAATGGAATGTGTATGATTAGCCTCATTAAGAGTTTTGCACTGTGAAGATTTTATTAGAAGCAATATTATGAAAATTACTTGGATTAATGTGTTAATCTTCCTCTTTAAAATGCTAATATCCATTTTATGCACATTAAAGCTCAGTATGCATTTTCTTTGATGCATGCCATTTCTATCAATTACATATAAAGAATGAGACTTGGCACCAACTTATTAAATTACTGCAAGTTTTTTGTTTTTCTTTCTTAAAAATTACAGTTCTTCTTATTTGTATTGTTTTCATGTATTTGTAATGGTAATATGGGATCCAGGAATGTGTGTATGTAAAGAAGAGACAGATACATGAAATTTACACTTTGAAAACTTAGCTTATGACATAGAAAGAAAATATTAAAAATATGCCTCAAATTCTGATATGCTTAGTTAGACCTGAAAGGAGTATCTTTTTATCATTTTTTAAATTTACATCAAGCTTGTACAATGCGAGGGTGTATCTGGATAACCAGATCATCGAAAAGCAGCTCAGAAAGTTAATTTTCTAGCTTTTACTCAATCTCACTGAAGGATTTAATTGATATTTTTAATGGAGCTGTGAATCAATGCTGCAAAGGAATTGTCTCTAGAGGTCTAGGATATAATGCATTTCATTTTTTAATTTACTTTTTTATTTGTCATTTTCTTCAAAGGATTTTTATAGGCTGTGGGTTTTCACTGTTTGCAAACAGGCTATGTTCCTTCTTAAGCATATGTAAAGTATTCAGGGAGATAAGTAATTTATTAAAATCTACCTAATTTGCCGTGATATATTAAATCTCTGCTTCAGTGATCACAGACCATTTCATTTAGAGAATTAGGCATTCCCTCTTTGTGTGATTAAAGCTCTGGAAAATGAGTTCTTTGCTCCTATTTGTGAACATTCAAAGCCTGCTAATGGCAAGAAGATGGAATAGATTATGAGACAATTCATTACAGTTCAACAGAAAAAAAAAAAGCAGCTATAATGCAAAAATGCAAGTATGAGTATCTGCATATAGTTTGAACCATCTGTGCTCTAATGGCTTCAATAATGACTCTCGTCTTTAGGAGGCTTTGAAATGACATCCGTACAATATTAATTTGTTGATGTACATTGTGGAACCAGTAGAGTATGATCTGACCACAGAAATCTATAAATTCTGTCTCTACCATTGGGCCTCCCTGTCTGGGGCCTGCCATCTCCAAGAAGAATCTTGCTCTCATCAAACTCTGCAAATCTTCATAACAACTCATTCCTCTGGAACCTTCTAGAGACCACAAACATCTGCAGGCTAAACCTCTCCAATCCTAATAAACAGCCACATGTTTGTTGTCACTTCAGCTGGCTCTGAGCTCATCTTTTTGGCCTCTCTTTCTAGCTTTCTTTGGCTTTAAGCAGTTACAGTGTCATTAAGGCCCGTAATATTCCCTGCAGTAATTTAAAACAGCCGGATTATACCCTGGGATTAACTGAGTGGTTTTTGAGACATTTATTGTGGTATTCTCCCAGGAGGTTTGTATTATTGTTTTAAAACATTACATCCCAAACTAAATACCCTTTCAGCAGGGAGAAGACCAGATTGTGCTGACTTCTTATGATCTTTAAGTGGAAAGGGGAAGTTTTTATTATAAATCTTCTGAGATCTACTCAACTGTATAGCATGTATACCTCAGCTAACGTTAGAGAATTAGCCACGTTTCTGTCACTTTCATGTGTACCGTAACAGATTATTTAAGATTCCTTTTCTAGTTTTAGAATACTCGGCCTCAAACTACATGAATTTTCACAAAGCTCATTTTCGTAAGTAGTTGAATAGCTGCTGACACGTTTTGAAGTGGATAAGTGGCCTTGGATGCTTCAAATGGTTTTCATAATCTGCCCGAGAATAGTTTTTTGTTTTGTCTCGTGTTGACCAGAGTTCGCTGAAAAGTTCCCCACCTTTTAGGATCAAGAGCAATGGTTTTCTCTTGGTGAGCTAAGCCTGATCCATTAAGTACGGCTTGGCGCTGGGCAGGGGGCCTGGCCAGACAAGTACACCAGTTTAAGGTAAGGCTTGTATGAACTTACAGCTCTTGGTGTAAACGTACACAGTACACTCAGCACTTTTGGGGGCTGAAATGCTTTTAGTTTGGAAATATAAATAGAGATGTGATGTGGTATGTGGGAGAGTGTATTTTACATGTTTTTTTGCCTACTGTAGTAGAAATGTCAAATTCCTAGCCACTGTCATGAGAAGCAGTTGACAAAAATAAGTTTTATGGTTTACAGTGTGGTTTACGTAGAGAACATTTCTCTTCACTCTCAGTTTCAACATGTTTTCTAAATTATCATGGTTTATTGCCGTTTAACTTAAATTAGTTTTTTTTAAGAATAAATAGAGAATATATTTAATCAAATAAAGAACAGCCACGTTGAAATTCTGCTGTTCCTGCCATTCAGTCGTTACCACAAAACACAAATAATTTCTGTGTATTACGAAGTGTGGGCTGAGAGCGTTCATGTGATTGGGGAGGTTCTGCGTGCACCCATGCTCCCACAACAAAACATAAGTTGTTTTAGTAATCTGACATCAAGAGCTGTGACAATGAAAACCACTTCTTACACATGTTCTAACAAGAATCCGATTAACATTCCGGTGGATATGGAAAATAACTTTTTTTTAGTCAAACTGGCACTATTGCTGAATTTAGAATGATTTCCTTATGCTCTAGATAGCAAAATGTGAATCACGTCTGTGAACAAATACGAGAATAAAATGTCATTTTTGGGGTAGTACAAAACAACCAAGGGAGAGCTTTGGGGATATAAAATTATTGAGTGATTGACAATACCAGGGTGATCATTCATCCCCAACTATGAGAGTACATTTTAATAAGTCACTCATGCCTGAAGGCCTCTGACTACCTTAACAAAGAAAAACTAAATCCATGATTTATTATAGTTTGGGCAACATGCCTAATTAGATCCATGAATGGGAGCAAATGCAGCTTTACATCCCCTTTGTTCAGAACAAAAACAACCTGCCGGTCAACCAGAAAGCTAAGAAGTATCAAAGCTATGGAAACAAGTGTTTTAAAAACTGAAAATACAGAATTAGAAAACATCTCCTCATCCTAATCTCTTTTATCTTGCAAGATAGAATCTTCACTTCCATTTCAAAATAAGGTACCACCAGTGGACTGCACCTTACAGTCTGACCTGCTGGGAAATTGGGCCCGTGTTCCTGATGCCATTACACCTTTTGTTCTTGCCCTTTCGTTTTCCATATACCTTTAGGCTTTTCCTCTGCTTTTTGCCCTCTCTCACTCTTTATTGAGATTCACCTTTCTCAGCCCCGTAACAGCATCACCTCTCTGTTCATTGAACATCATCAGTTTTCTTTTTAAATCAAATGTACATCTTGATCTTTATATTTCTGTCATCTATTCTCTTCACACCTATATTCAGCTGCAACATCTCCTCCCACCTGTCTATCCCCCTGCTCATTTTTAGTTATTAGTAAAGCACATTTTTTCCTTCTTTTCTTGGTGCTATAACCACTTCTTTAGATACCAGCATCTATGACAATTTCCCAAATTTGGAAGGTCATCTGTGACCTTCCCAAAATGTTCCTTTGTGTTAAGACTTCTCTTAATTTAACATGACAGGGGCACTCTTAGTCAGCCATCATGAAACTAAGGAAACAAACAGCAAGCTAATTTTTGTGTCTTTGCTTCTTTTGTACCTTTTTACAGTGAAGTAACAGAGGCTGAAACTCAGAAAGCTCTCAGCGATCACTGGTAAGGAGCTGAAGCATAAGCGGTTTCTAAGAAATTTTAAGGAAATGTATCATTTTAAAATCAAGCTGTATTTTCTGTAAATGTGTTTTGTCGCAGTTTACATGGCCTCATTAACAATAGGAAAAATAAGAGAAATTTTGGAAGAAGACTTAAGAGACTACAATACAACCTAGAGTTTGGGAAGACTTTTCTAACCAAAAGAGGGAAGACAAGCTATGAAACAAGACATAGATGTATTAAATATGTAAACATTAAGGTAGGGTGACAGTTTTAATATCCGACAAAATCGAATCCAAGGTGGAAAACAAGGGACAAAGAAAGATTTTATACTCGTAAAGGGAGCAAGTGGTCAAAGATGTAGTGAACTTGAGTAAATGTATCTCACAGTATTGCCTCAAAATTCATGAAGCAACAACTGACAGAACTATAGTGACTACATGTTTTTTAATATAATTCTCAGAGAGAGAGATCAAAAGATAAGAAAAAGTCTAGAAGATTTGCTTCGTATGATCACTAAACTCAAATGGATATAGAACGCGTGCAGGACATTCAAAGAAAAATTAACCGTGTACGCAGCCACAAAGGAAGTCTCAATTTCCAAAGAATCAAAACCTTATAATTTGTTTCTCTGAGCAAAATGCAGTGAAATTAGAAATCAGTAGTAAAAGGCTAGCTAAAAAATAATTTTATCTAAAACTTAAAAATATGTGTTATCGGACTTCCCTGGTGGCGCAGTGGATGAGAGTCCACCTGCCGATGCAGGGGACACCGGTTCGTGCCCCGGTCCGGGAAGATCCCACATGCCGCAGAGCGGCTGGGCCCGTGAGCCATGGCCGCTGAGCCTGCACGTCCGGCGCCTGTGCTCTGCAACGGGAGAGGCCACGACAGTGAGAGGCCCGCGTGCTGCAAAAAAAAAAAAAAAAATGTGTTATCGTTGTTTGGGGTTCTAATAGGACAAGGGATAACCCACTCTTACATCATAACCAGAAGACAGAAAATCCTACAAACTTCACTTTATGTGTAAGTGGGGAACATAATTAAACATCAGCTCAGAAGCCCACTCCAGAGGGTGAGAAAGGCAAGGGTTAAGCATAAGAGAGGAGCCTGTGACAAGATTTTAGTGGTGGCAGAACACAGATAATATATCACCTAAGTTTCTCCCAGGAGACGGTCCACCCTGAGTGAGGAAATGCTGAGGATGGGTCTGTGACCTGGTGGATCAGAGTACTGGCTACTGGGGAAGTGAATGGAAGGGGCTTGGAAATGCAGAGGACCAGAGGTAGCAGCCTTGGAAAGACACCTCTTCTGGAAGAGAAGGAGGCACTTTGGAAGGGGGAAGTCTCCCTTGGAGGCATAGCAGTAAAATAAAGAAGGAACCAGCTGAAACCGTGGGCCCCAGGGAAAGAAGATAGTATCAT